TTACCTGTATTATACATAAAAAAGACTACTGTGCAAAAATCAATTATTAATTTCTTTACATATTACTGGGAAAACAAGATGGTTTGGAGCTGAACTGAAATGTGCATCCACATGCTTTTGTTCCAGTCAGCTGTACAGTGAGACCTGTAAGTGAATCCCCCCTGATGTTCAGGGTATCAGTCAATACTAACCTGTCTTAAAACAGAACAGCTAGAAGAGCTAACAATACTAAATAAGTAAGTTCGGAGACAGGCACGATTGGAAGAGAATGTGAAGGGACTGGTTGTGAATTTACAGAGAGAGTTTTTACCAACACTTGGTTTCTAATAAAGAGCATGTTGTCCCTGCAGAGGGTGCAGGCTTAAAGGTGCAGGCTTTACTTGCTCATATCTGTCTGAAACATTCCTTCTGAGTAGGGAGTGGGTGGTCAGTATTCACACAATAATAAGCCTTCAGAATATCAAACATTTCAGGAAAGACAACTTAATAAGATGGAGAAACCCCCTGTGGACAGTTGTGCACTTGATGGCTTTGGAGTTTTTCTATAAAGGATTGTTTGACATAGTTAAAGTCTACAAGGACAACCTGGCTAGGTTTGAGGTTTTGGCTTAAGAAATGGCTGCTGTGATATCCCAAATTACATCCGGATGAGAGAATAGAAAGATAGGTGTGGATGCCCATCAATTCCTTTGGCGTAACTTAACTAATGGGGGGGTTTCCAGGCCACGTACACAAACTCTGACCTATCAAGTGTTGTTTGTAAGGGGTTTGCCACTTTGCCTCTGTATTCGATTAACCCCTCAATCAATGCTTCAGTCATATTTGCAATACACCATTACCTCTAATGCATTCTTCTCTTACACGTTGAACCCCCCCAATATCAGTGTAAAGTTTTTGTGCCACTGCATGCGTGTGTGTATTCGAGCATTCACACTTTCCTCAATCTGAATCTCCACGACTGCCCATGTGCGACTATAGGGAAAATTCATTTACACGTTCTGCCTCTTCACCTCTCTTCTTGATGTTTTTTTCCTGTGAAATAGCTTCCATCTTTGCAACACACACACAGGAAAAAACACCCTTTTCTCACTACGTTTATCAGTAGCCTTTTCATCTTCTGCTCTGAACCATTTTCACCCTTAAGCTTAATTAAAATTCACCTCCTGTCTCACCTGCACGCATACATAACTTCTGAAACGGTCTTTCACAGACAGCTCGATGGTTTTGCTCGCCTTACCTCTGATGGAATTTGCAGGCTGTCTGGAGACTTGAGCAGGAATGCCAAACACCAATCTGACAAATCTGTCTTTTCCACACGGTCACATCAAGGATTTTCCTCAGGCACATTCAGTCTGAATTAATCTCTTGGTTCATATTCAGTCCTGCATGCAGATTATGTATAGAAATGCAAGCAGACACTACTGATGAGCTCATCAAAGACAAATTAGGCATTTAGGTGCTGCACTGATTCCTACAAATGAACACCAGAATTTGATTTTCAACAACTGCCCCCAACCTTCAAAGATGGTGAAAAAAGTTGCACGTTATCTTTTTCTTGCAATATTCCCCATGTTGCACGATGAAAATACAAATTACAAATGTGACTGAGTGGTACTACATTTGTAGTACCACTTGAAGTATAATAGAATAATCATAATAGTATAATCCGCTGACTTACTGACCTGATTCGTGTAGAAATCTATCATTACCTACAATAAAATTCACACTCTACTGTTCGATTTTGTGTTATTTAATATCTGACCACCTTTTACCCCTGCTATCCAGTTTTGTCATGCGCTCAATGCAAAAGTTTGGATCGCAGGACTTAGATTTTGGTTGAGGGATCTAGTCATTTAGATCCTGCCTTCGTTATCAGTTCCTAATAAGGACTGGAACTAACAAAAAAAACAGACTTCAAGTGTATGATCAGTATGAGCAGTTGATGTCATAAACACAGCAGGGTTTGAGTAGCATATTGATTGGGAACTCTCTTGAGGACATGGCTCAATTATTAGAAGTAGGCAGCTTCTTACTTCACTGCAGGGTCTCATTCTTATCTACTAACAGGCAGGAAATTCACCACATCCACCCCCTGTCCTCCCCCTACACTGCTCTACTCAGCTGCGTCCCTTTCCCTTCTTATTTTTGGTCATCTTCTCCATTCTTTTATCACATGAGACATTTCTCCAGCAGTGCTCATCCCAAAGTGACTTCCATCTCTCTCTCCTTTGCTGTTTACTGAGTACAATGACACTCCCTTTGTACGAAGCAGGACTCCAACAATTTATCTCCGTCACAAAGCCTTTCCTCTTCTTCTGCCACACCACTCTGCATACAGAGTGTTTGTGGAGCTGCTGAGAAGCTTGCCTCGCTGTTCGGTTCTGCTGCTTTATGAAGCCATCAAACCTGCACATCCACAACACGACTTTCATCCTGTTAACTACCAATGCACTGTTGACAATGCCCCCTCCAGGATTCTTGAAAACGATTCAGTGAACAGAAACTGCTTCCGTTGGATGTGCCCAACCCTGACAAATACACCACTGAAGAAGACGACCAGATTTAAACAAAGCACACAGATCCCAGACACGTAAACATTTCAAAGAGCATGCACAGATGCAAGTGTGCATTTCAAGGCGTTTGCATGCTCGCTTGCAATAATTTTCCTCAACGGGAGTGCAATCGTTGACATACATCTGCGGCTCGTTTAATTACTTACAGTAATTAGCCTGGGGCAAGCGCTACCAACGATGCTCTCCGCTCTGTCTGGGTCTGTTTCCTCTCTCTGTGCTTTCTACCACTGTGTATGTCCACCAGCATGCCAGCATCATGCCTTAAGCCGAACACTTATGACCATATAACTGCCCTCAACAATACAGGTGTATGCCTTTTACCCCTTAACAATAAATGAATTCTCTAAACCCCTTATCTAACCAATTTTACACCAACCCCCTGTAATTAAAACTCCCTCTCGTGATTTCTTTGTTTTCTGAATTCTCACTGCCACTTAGTTGTGGGAATTTTTTCTTTTCTAAAGAGAACCCCATCTATCTGTACAAACCCCTTTCCTCCCTCTCTTTTCAGACAGCTAATTGAATTTGCAGCTGACTTTTAATTAACAGCAGGGTCGATTTGCATAAAGTCAGCTCATTTGCATTTGGTCGGAGCCCCTCCCCCAACGCATGTCTGAGTGCCTGGCATGGAGCCAAAAGCAGGGGTGGAAACTGACTTTGGAGAGACGAGGGGAGGAGAAGGTGAGGTGCCAGCTAACAAAGGAGAGGAGAAACAGCAGATGGGGGAGGGAAGAGACAAATGGGGGTAACAACACCTCACGCCACAAGATGGAGGACTGATTAAGGTAGACATGCATCTGTAAACGGACGCACACACAAACCTTATTTGCACAAATAACTCCTCAGCTTACACAATCAGGTTGGCTAATTATTAAATCAAAGCAAGGAAACAAAACAAGACGCTATATCGTGGTTCTCATTTTCCAAACAGGTGTTAATTGCTCGAACATTGGCTCTATGCAGATGAGCTTGGCAGACTCATTAACGAGATGTGGCAACGCGCTGCAATGCAGCTGTCAAACACGTACAGGGATGCTGTGACTTAAGTGGAGCATGCATGCTAATAAAAATAAGCATAAAAAAAATATATAATTCTTTGGCTCATATCTGATAGTGAACAATCCACTGTATTGTACCCACTTTATACTGTAACAACTTCATGAATATTAATGAATTTATCCATTTAACAGGATGAGCATTTGTCAAAATGCTTCCTGTCCAGAAGACTCGTTCTGCTCCGATAGGTATAATCCATCACTGTACCAGGTCTGACCAATGGGCATGCTTTTATTTATTAATGCCCAACCCATAACGTCTGGTCTGTCCGTTTGATTACAGTATGGACGTGGATAACATATGTGCATCTGTGCTGAAATCTGGCAGCAGTGTGGCAAAGCTGTTAAGTTGTCACTGAGCACTGAAACAGCTGGGAAGAGTAATCTGGACAATATCTTTGGATTATAACTCAAGCATACACATTGCATACACAGCTGAAATGCGACTCAACATATGTACGGCTGGTGAAACAAACAACCACCTTTATTAGTATCGATAAAGGCACGTGGCTCAATAATAAGTCATTAAAACAGTCAAAAAGCTGGATGGATGCCAACCAGACGGCTGCTGACTGGCATACAAGGAGGCAACAAGCTGTGGCTGGTGTGGGTTGTGATGCAGCTGCCTCTCTCCCGTTTGTTCCTGGAAGGAGGTCACGGAGGGAGAATAGGCGCATGAGAATATAACCTCAGTTTATGAGATGAGGGCTGTATGTTTGCATGAGAGACGTGCTCGTGGATCTTGCAAGCGCGCACCACAAGAGTACCATGGAGGGTGGGGAGTGGCAGACACCATTTTGAAGACATATGCTGCATGTCGCCATTTTAAAAAGGGCTTTGCATGGAAGATCCTTTAAATTACTACGCAATTTTTGCTCCACTAGCAAAAAGCTCAAAAGGAACTTTCTTCTCCTCTCTTCACCAGAAAGCTGACTTCAGAGCTTTAACTTAAAAGTTATTTGAATGTGGCTGTTTAAATGAGCCAAAGTGCAAAAAATCTGAGAAAGAAATGTGGAACTTTTCTGGAGCTTGAGGATAAAAGTCCTGAAGCTCCAGAAAAGACACACTCATGCATTCAGCTAATTAGCACTAATCAGCTACATACTGACCTAGTAGGCAGCCATATTGATTTCAGAAGCTAATCAGGGAAAGGCTTAATGACAACTTAAGTGCTCCAGTAAGTGAATTACACCTGCAATTAAATTCTATGAAAGAATTGCAGCAGTGCAGCAGAAAATGATCTAAAAATGGGTCCTCGCCCTCGCACACGCATTTTGCCGAGCATGCATTTTCAGCAGGGTGGATCTTTATAATGAAGTCATAAGACAAAATAACAGTTTATACACACATCTAACTATGCAAATAGTGTATTTACAACTTCAATCTTTATTTCTTTAAAATAAGATAAAGGAACATTTGTTATCAATAATACAAGTACAAAAATGTATCAAACAGACGAATATACAAGACAGAGCATGACAGTGACAGCTGAGAGAATTATATATGGTTGAAAGAGACAAAGATTCTTGGTACATTATGGAAAATAGATTTTTTTTAAAGTCGACTGGTCAATGGAACATCAGATTATTTTGTCCCAGAAAAATGCAACAATGATTTAAAATAGTCTAAATGTGTTCTACATGAACCCAGCAAACCTGCTCTCTTTCCAGTTTCAAACAAGCTACCATAACATTCTCCAATAAATACGGCACAATGGTGGGCCTAAAAGCGGGAAAAGCACGAACGTATCTTTGGTTTTGTAAGAGCGTGCGTGTAGAAAATCGGAATACGTGGACCACAACTGATGAAAACCATTCACATTTTATATCGTGCATAAATACGTTTTCATTTTAAATCACTCTTAAGATATTTATTACTATCAATAAACAATGACATTTATAACTGGGAATTTAAAAAGACGTCAGAAGCCTGACATCTATAATCAACAGGATATAAAAACTAAGAAAAACACAGGTTGTGATGAAACAAAGTCAAACATTTGATGTGCTGTTTGGCAACCTTGGATTTGGAGAAAAAGAGAAAGCTGGTTGATGCTGCATCCCACAGGCTATTTTGACTTAAGGCGTCACATTTTGGGAGAGTGTTGCTCGGCCCTCTTCCAACATGCTTTGTCAATGACAGACCACGCAGCGTCAAGTGCAATCATGGATGTAATCACTTTTCACACCTTATAGTGTAGTGTACAGAACAAAACGGAAAACTGTGCATCAAAGATGGTAGAAGACTGGGCAGAAATAAAAAATAAAAAAAGCCAAACTTTCAAAAAGGAGTGGATGAGATTATATGTTACTGAATAAGGAAAACCTGACACGGAAAAATAATGAGTGTCAGTCCATTTGGTTTGGCTGAAATATAAATTTTGGCACCACAAAAGTAATAACTGTATGTTGTGTAAGCAGGTAAAAGTCAAACCGCAGAATATTATCAAGACTATGCCTTCTCATAACTATCTTTGCCAAGAATAATAGTAAAGTTTGTTAAAGAGGCAATAAACTGACAAACAGTCTTTTCATCTGCAGAAAGTTACTGAATATAAAGTCCATCTGGCAGGCTTCTAAGTTTCTATCCCACCTGTGAGATGTGGGCTGAAGTGGTGGAAGACTGTCCTAGAAGATCAAAGTCTCATGGCTAAGGCATTACACTGCAGCTGGATGGGGCAGTCTACATCTCATGGGCAGCCAAATGATGTTCCGGGATACCATTGGCATGAGCCACTGCTGTGTTATTTTCATTGAGACGCCTCACACGATACATTTCATAGTGGATGCTGCTGGTGATGTCCTTAATGTTCTGCATATGGGTTCTAAAGAACATAAACACACTCATGTTAATACTGGCAAAGGAGATGCATAAACCAAACTCAAATATTAGATTTAACATGTTCTACCTGTTCTATTCCTTGACATTAAAAAAAAAAAGACAGTTAAAAACAACATCTTTCTGCTGGTGGCAGAAAACAATAGATGAACTTCTGCAGTAATCACCTACATGTCCATACCACTGACATACACTTAACTTGCACTGAATTCATAAGGGTAATTTTGCTTTCATTTTTTGCCCCAGAGGCAGTTACAAGGAGTTCTGCTTTTGGTTTCCATTTCTTTTTCATATTTTTCATGAAAGAAAAATGACAAATTGACAGGTTTGTTTGATAATTTTTTTGTATGGAAGTTGTTTGGTTGAAATGTCATGATGCAATATGAATAATATTATAACCATTAAGGACTACCTGAATGGCTATTTTCAAGATTACCCACAGTAAACTATAATTCATTTTTAAATTATCATTATGAATGGACATAGAGTTCTCTATAAACTTTTTAGCCACACTTACATTTAATTCGATTACATCTATAATGCAACTCATAAAAATCAACAAATTGACTCACCTGATGAGAAGATCCCGTAAGTAGGCAAACTCACAGTGGGCAATATTTTCAACTAAAAGGAAAAGATAAAAGGCAAGAGAGAGATGTCTTCAGTTAACTAAATAATTAATGCAGAGAGCGTTTTACTTCCCGACTGCTCAGTGCTGGGTTTCCTGAAGACTCCACTAGATGGAGTCAGTGATCTTAGTGCCATGTTCCAACAAACAGATGCTGAATGTCATGTCAACACTCATGTAAGCTACTTTACTGGATACATCTCTACAGTTATGACACTCTACAGAGATAAGAATTTCTGCAGAAAAAAAAAATCCAACTAGATGAGAACTTGTGTGAATGTCTGTGCAGCACGCTCAGGAAATGAAACTTCCTTAACGAGACACTCAATAGAGAGGAGGTGCCTCCTGTCTGGAGTGGATAACATGATTAAATATTGAAAGGCCAATACTGCAGTTAAAAAAAAAAAGCTGAGGAGGCAGACAGAAACTGCATTGTTGGTGAAAGGGAATAAAACAATCCAAGGTAATCTACGATGTTCAAGCTGTTTTTATAGTATTACATAAAAAAAAAACATGTGTATAAAATGACTATATAATGACATTTGGTATTATCCTAATTCCTGAATAAACACCCACAGTGCACATACTCCTTAAGCAAAAGGGGGTGTTAAATAAACAAATCGGGGGTCTTCAGACTGGCATTCTGTCTGCTGGAAGCCTGAACCAACTGGCTGGCACTAAAGAGCAGTCTGAAAGCTGAAAGGAGCTTTGTTTACTGACTGTGTGAGCCCCATCTCTTTTTCTCTCTATAATTAACCTATTCCCAAGTCAATTGTGCACTTAATACTGTTTTAAAAAGGTTATCTAAAACTAGAAGTATAAAAAAGGGGGGACAAGAGCTGTACCTTCAATAGTACCCCACTTGGTCTTCCTGCCCAGCAGCCTCCTGCCATTGACCTGGTACTCCTGGTCACTACCCACAACAGCAAACGGAATCATCTCCTACACAAAGATTGCATATGGTAAGATTAGAAACCAACCAAGTTCAAGATTCACAACTCCTAACAATGTCTGTATTTGCTTATGTTTAAAAATGACATATTTACCCTGATCTTTTCATTAATCATCCTGTCCTCTGCATCCTCATCAAATTCCTTCTGGGGATACACGTCTATCCCATTGGCTCGCAGCTCTTCCCTGATCTGGAAAGAACACATTTAGGCACACTCAGTAAACAGAACTTTAACCAAACACAGCTTTTATTCAATGCATCTGAAGATATTTGATCCTAGTTTACATTGCAGCTGAATTTAATGAAATGTGTAATTCCATTAAAGGTGTCAATGCCATAGTTGAATCAGCATATAGTGACATTGAACAAAAGTTTGACTTATATTTTAGAGGGTAACAGCTAAAGTCAGAACTCAGTCATTAACTACACTCTGTAACTTGTGCAACCTGAGAACCAAAGAAAACAGCCAGAAGTTACCTTCTTTTTAAAGAAGTCCCTCTCCTCCAGCGTGAGAGTGTCCGCTTTTGCAATGACCGGAACAATGTTGACCACTTTACTGAGACGTCTCATGAATTCTACATCAAGAGGTCGCAGACTGGGACGGAAGAAGAATTTATAAGAGAATGGACAAAAACACTAAACTATAACACAAACCTCACACCAGAGGGCAGATGTTTGTGATAAACATCCCACATGCAGGAATGACTAACAGATTTTGAAAAGTTTGCTGTGCATCCATGACGTGATCAAATTACTGTGTACAAATGACTTTAACAGCTGCTAAATGAGCTTGTTAAGGACTTGTTTCCCATTTATGAGTATGTGCCTTTGCTACAGTTTAAGAAAGTATCTGCACATTTCTGAGCAATTCAAACTGTCTGGGCTAACGTGACTAACAAAGAGAACTTAGTATCTGCTGTAAGCCTTGTGCAGTCAAGCAAGAGGACACTGAAAAAGACAGAAGGGCTAAATTGATTGCATGCACCCAGACACACACAGACTCTCTGTCTCTTTGCCCCTCCCCACCCTCCACTTTCTCACATTAGGCTTTTTAAGGCAAGCTCCAAGCAGCTGCTGCTTAGGCCATGTGACATCTGCAGTGTTGGATCAACTTGAAACATTGGAGACAGCAGGCTGTTTCACAGCAGACCCCCGCCTGAGTAAAGACAGGCTGTGACAGAAAAAATTAAAAGGGGTGCAGCACTTGAACAGTGCTCTGTTATCAACTGCAACCCTGTGTGGGTGCTCAGGCGAGGCAGCTGCTTCAACGTTTCCCCCAAAGATATCCGACTACAGTTGCATTGTTTCAAAAAAGAAAACAAAAGTCGCAAAACTACACCACAAATTAATCACTCGATGGACACGAGTGTGTGTGCAGCCTCCCCCCTCCCCCTAATTCCTTCTGCAAGTACACCCCAATCCCTTGAGCGCCAATCACTGCAGGGCTGAGCCAAAAGGAGAGCAGAGAGGCCGGGCAGATTAGGCAGTTCGATCAGAGCCAGATGTGTACATCTGCAAAAAAGTCTGCACAAAACTTGGGAGACTGCGCCGTTTGAGTGCTGGCGAGAGCAGTCAGTCTTTCCAGTGTGTACGCGAGTCTGGGTTGGAATGGCGTTCTGGAAAATGTTGCCTTGTTCTGAGGGGAAAGGCCAGGAGTGGATGTAATATATAAAAATAAAAGATAACAAAGCTTAGAGTTGTGACACAAGCTCACATTTAAAAACCAGAGGGTAAATAAAGCGAGTCTGTACGATTCAGACCTGCACAGAAGACCCAGGTGTTGCTGCCTGTGACCACAGCAGCTGACTCCATTCGTCTGCGTGTCATTTTAATGTTAACTTTTAAAGATGTTCATGAGATGTGTTTCGGTGTTTTACACACCTCAGCTTAAGGGCATTTGCTTTCACCGACCCATTTACATATTTCATCCTTTGTGTGTGCTGTTACCAGTGTCCAGTTGGGGGGATGAAGTATATGCAGCAGTGAACTCGGGAGTCTGGAATCCTTTTTTTTCTGTTTATGTTGATTTCCTCCTGAAGGTATGCTTCATATTGGTCGTTAATAAACTTCATGATGGGCTGCCAGCTAAATTATGTCAAAATGTCATTGTGAGGGCAAAAAAAGAGAAAAGGAGAGGCAGAAAAGGAAGGAAAGGGTGGATGGGAGCAAAGAAAAGGAAGAGTTGAGAGAGAATTGAGAATGATGCAGAGAGCAAGGAGAGGGACAGGAAAAGCAAGACAGGAAAGAAAGGGGAAGAGTAGGAAACTTTGGTTAGATTCAAATGTCAGTACAACTTTCCAACCTCACATGCTTATAGCTGTAAAAGTATAAATTATACCAATTCTCATTGTTGATCTGGTCTCCAAAACCTGGCGTATCAATGACTGTCAGCTTCATTCTCACGCCTTTTTCCTCAATATCTGTGTGCATGGACAAATATAAAAAAAAACACATGGTCAATTAGTCTCAGTACAGACTGGGAGAATTTTTAACAACCAACTGTTGTTGATGGTCGAATGTAAAATAATTTGACAAAGTCGCTGCGCGTTTGTCCTCATGAAATTTAGTGATTTGAGGAGAGGTTACCAGTCCCGTCATGGAAGAGGCCTTACATTTGAGAGAGACACATTAGGATAGGACACAGCCAGCCATTGAAGCCATACCATGACTGATGGATTTAATTTCAATCGTTTTGGGGATCTTTTCCTGGGCTGTAGCCATCACAGACTTTCGGCTGACTTTGGACTTGAACAGCGTGTTCATCAGAGTCGACTTTCCCAGGCCACTCTGCCCTGTAAGCCAATAAATAAATAAATAATAAAACAATCTGATAAGGAGACATAAGACTCAAATGATTACTTGTGCAGTACATACAGTAATATACTTTTTCATAATAAATCCAAACATGATGAGATTATTACTTTGCAGGATAATTCATGGCTGCAAAATCTAAAATCAAAACAGTGTTGTTAAAATCAAAGCAGAGGCATAATTCAACAGGTCAGTAAGTATGTCAGTTTGACAAGGAAAACCATCAAATGATCATTCACAATTGAAGTTTAAAAAAAATAAAATCACAATGCTTTTAAAATAGTGTCACGCACTCACTCAACTGAACTTGCATGCTAAAGTGGAATGTCCCAGCAGCTGGAATCCTTTGGAGGTAAAAAATAACAAATGTGCATCTTATCTGCTGAAGAACTTTTACAATACAGCTGCCAGAGGCTCTTTGTCCAAAATTCTACTACTAACAACCATAGCAACAGAGAGATGGTGCCAAAATCCCACGCTTGGCTTCGGTATCTGGCAAAAGCACTACAGATTTAGTTTCTAACGTATTAATACAGAGAAAACTAAGACACATGTATGACTGGGTGGGAGCGCCACCTTGTGAGATACTTTGTCCCATTAACTCCATTGGAGAACACTGTTTCCTAGTGGCTTTGTTTTACCAAAAAGGATCAAATATACCAAAATATGACCTTTTCTTTTTAGTGAAGCACACAAATTGTAATACTACTACATAAGTTTATTTTCACTTTACTGATAAAAAAAATCCAATAGAAACTGGTAAACATGTGCTTTATTTATTTGCACTGAACAAAAGTGTAAGTATCTGTGCTTATGTGCCTCATTAGTCTCCACGTAGCCCTGTGATGGACTGGGTGTAACCCGTCTCCCATTCAAGGACAGCTCAAGAACCCTCTCTGAATTAGATAAAGTGGATGTTAAAAAAAGTCTATATATGGATGAAGATATGAGTAATATTTGTTTACAAGGAATAGAGATGGAGTGAGATATTAGCTCGTACAATATGCATGTTGAAAAACTATTCTAAAGTTAAAATTGAGGGTCTGAGCATAAACCAATTTGAGTCTGATATTTACCATGTTTAAGTGATAAAAGGAATGCAGAGAGAAAAAAGAAGATTCCAAACTGCTTCACTCACCTCAGATTTGAGCTGCTTTTCATTATCTTATCCAACTATATATGAGAATAAATATATGTATGTGTTCTGAGAATCTTACTATTTAAGTCTTACTTCACTACACTACTTACTCATTAATATCAAAGCCTTCTATTCCAGTCATACAAATGTCTACTGAGCCAGAGTAGAAGCATGAATCATTCTTCTGCTGCCCTCTTTGTTGGCAAAATATGACTCAACCTTAGTGTAAAAGGTTTAATTTTGTTTACCACAGTGTCAGCCCTGTGTCCTCTTCTCAAGCAAATTGTATTATATGAGACACAGACTAAGTGTCGCGACATCATTAGGAGGAGACAACATGTAGGGCAGAGAGGTGCATTTTATGGTGGTCTCCAAAGTGCTGCAATTAGCTCATGTTTTAAAAACTAAATTAGAGTTTTTGATCCTTTGTGTGTGACTGGTTATTAAAATAAGTTTGAGGCCATGCCTGTCTGTCAGAACATGATTAGAAAGAAAAGCATAATGTAAATAACAGGACACACAGCAGTTGCGAGATTGCTCTGAGACAAATTGACATTTAATTTGAGATAATTCTAGGTTACTTTCAGTTTTAAAAAGAACTTGCATGAAGCTAAAAGAAAATGAGAAAGCTTATGATTGGATGTTTTAGAGTTAGGTTAATTTTTTTGCTTCATCTGTGGAGTAAGCGGTAGAAGGGCCAAGGGACAAACTGGATCGTTGATCTCTTTCAATTTTGCCATTTTTCGGGCAGAATTCTGCTATATTTGCATACAAACAGGTTGGATTTTTACAATTAAATGGAAAAAATTGACAGCTATATCCCTGAGCAAATGTAATACACTAAGTCCGAATGGAGAATTTCATTCTCCATTCTAACAACCAGTGACCATCCACAGCGTCATCTGTTAGACCACAACCTGACAAAGGCTAAAATAAATTTAATAGCTGTATGGTTCTTTACTGACTGTAAGAAAAGGAAACATCCAGAACTCATATTCCAACAAAGGTTCATCACCCTCGATCAATTTAAACCATTGCAGTCAATGTGAATGGGGACAACTTACCCACAACCATAATGTTGAGCTCAAAACCCTGCTTCATGGCCTTCCTCCTCATCTGCTCCAGAATGGCATCAATGCCTACATAGCTGAAGTCCACCGCAGGGCCACCAGTCTTCTCTCCATACAGACTACTCACTGCTGGGGACACCATCGTGTCAGGCACCACCGCCTCAGACATGGCACTGCTGCTGTAGCTGGAAAACACTTCTGGTCCTGATTTGAGAAACACAGGGAGAGGAATGTTAGAGGACTACGGCTGAGGTTCAATATGGAGAGATTTAGCACGTAAAAGAAATAGGAGAGACGTGACTACAAAGCTGACCATTTGAAAAACAGGTATCGCAGGCAATATGAGGAAGTGGGCCACAGAGGTACATAGCTGAGTTTCTCATGTGGAAACACCCATGCAGGAGGGAATTCCCCAATTTAAATTCCCAAGAAATACCAAAAAAAGCTAACTTAGGGTGCTAAAACATTAGTTATTAGTTATTGATTAAAACATAGAAAACGCATGACTTGAGTTCGGCAGCATTAGGACACATCTTCTGAAAGAGACAAACAGGTGCATGAGTTCGATCACTTGCTTTTCCATCAGGCCAATCTAACAAAACATAGTTTCCTGCAAAACTGGCTACACTGCAAGGATGCTAAAGATAACACTCACTTAAATGCCAATATGCTGATGTTAGGTGAAATGACTACAGTGTTAACTGCTGCAATTCAACATTATGTTCTAGAAAACCATGAATTATCAAGGTAGCCAAATAGTTTGTTCCCCTAGTGGCCCAAATAAAGCGAACCAGATGAAATAACTTGGCGCAGGTACAGTGCGAATGAGGCCTGTATCTAGCAAGAAATCAGGCCACTACATATTGTCCATATTTAGTCTGAATACAGCATGACATTTGCAGCAAAAATGAGCCAAAATCCACAATTTTGCAAACAGACAACTGATTTTTATGATCATCTGTCAGTATAGTAGCACAGTGCACAATCAATCACACTCAATATGCCCAATCCAACTATTTACCACAAGAGGAATTAAAAGACCATATCTGCAGCCGATGGCAATTTTTCAGTAGTCTAGTTATGTGTAATAATACAAGTTACATCTGTGGACCAAACTTTATAAGCAACAAAATGGACCATGAAGATATTCAAGTAAAATCCAAAAGAGCCAAAGTGATGAGGTCAGCCTCAACCCACAGAGCGCATTCATTGTCAGCACATCTCCTGCTAATCCGTGTCTTCGTTAAGATATCTTAGTCAAAACCAGAAGTGGTGTCCTGTGTCAGCACAGCATTCTCCATTACAAAACTGCTGAAACACTGCCTTAACTTTTAACAGAAGGGAAGCATGGGCCCATTCCAACAAAGTCATTTGACTCAACAGACGTATATTAGAAATTATGCTCTGTAGTATAAAATACTTAAGACTTGGCAGGAGGTTGTTCCACCAGTTGGTTCTGACAACAATTCTCTTAATGCGTGGAAAGCCTACAATTCAGTTCATTGGCTAGATATTCAGCTTGTATGTTAACGTATGTTAATGCTTTTTCATGCAGAGCATATCTCTGTAACGATGTAGTGTCAGTGTAGGTGAAGAATTACATGACTGTGTTTATATCTGTTGGCCTGTATGTAACTGCTCCCCTTCATAAGGCCTCCCGTCCCCTTGCCTTCAATAGAACAGCATTACTGTCCTGTTAATGTGAGCTTGGAAAAGAAGCTGAAACCTGATCTTCTCCCCTCTAACTTGCCTCCCCCCCCCCCCCCCCCCCCCCCCCC